AAACAGTTTCTCATTCATCAGAAGTCTTCCGTCAACTAGTGCCATGATTAATGGAGGTTAGATTGATAAATTAGCAAAACACTATTCAACAAAGTGTTTCAATATAAACAGATTAAAAATTACTAATTATATAGTGTTAATTTTTAAACTAGTATAGTAATTAATCAATCTCAGAACAAAACTATTAGTAACAAGAGAAATTTATGACACTGATAATAAAATAGATTCAAAGTAACAGGGACTGATCGGAAAAGTAACTGTTAAATTCCCTCATAAATAATAGCTTCAAAGGTTATTGTAATAACAGATCGTAACATCGTACAAATACGCAGGTCTCGATTTCGATAATCCTCAACAGAGTACAACAATCATGTGAGTTACTAGTAATAAAATCTTAGCATGAGTCAACATTGTGTGATATTTATTACTGAAAACTGTATTTCCTTAATATCATGAAATCGGTTCCCTTGACAAACATATGTAAAGCAAGGACAATTAACATTGTATACTGAATTAAATTCCTTTCATTTCAAGTACTCAAGATCACCCAAATATCCACTAATTTTTACACATAAATGAAATTTTAAATAATTGTAATTTTATCTATAATCAGTAAAAGATTCATTTGATTCACTAGTGAGAAGAAGCAATTCTTTTTACCATCCAAATTAATTTAAGTATCGAGTATGAATGAAAAGATTTAAAAACAGTGAGCTCATGACATAATTGAAAATAAGAAACATGTGCAAATTGTAATAACTACACTGAGAAAATTCAGGATAGTGATAATTATCACCAAAAATAATTATAATGATGGTGATAATTATACTGATAATGATAGAAAGCATTGAAGAACGCATGAGAAAATGAAATCGATTGAATATTTAGAATGCAAATTGATTAAATATTCTACTGAATATTGTTAAAATAATTTGGCTAATTGTCATAACTATAGATTAGGGATGATAGTACAATTAAAGTTAACTGGAAAATTTGATTTCATGATTAAATAAACATGAGGTCAAGCGAACTAAATTGATAAAGTAAAAAGAAACCTAACAGTAAATTGGTCACCATGACAGCACCCAAAGAAACAAACTTTCAATTTGAATACAAAAATTGAGCTTAGGAAAAATGTAAACTAGGTCATTGTGCGTAAAATAAAAATTAATTTGATATACTGTCTATTTATTTCTTAAAAGATCTACTGAAAGAATTGCATGTAGTATTTGCTTTATCATAACACTAATAGCTGCGAAACGAAATAAAATTTCTTGAAACGTGTTTCAAGATTAAATTACATAAAATACACTCCCTGCGACCGACATATATATTGATGAATATACAAGTAAACATAGAGATATAGTCATAGGATAATAAGAGGTTCATCAGCTATACCCAAATTTACCATACCAACATAGTTGTGAAATATATTTCATTTAGTGAATGTGTGAATGACTAAAGGTACATTGAAGTAAATGCACACAATCCATTAGACAGTTTCAGAATTCTCTCATTATCAAAAAGATTATATTGTGTTACTGGTAGAATTATCACTAACTAATATTGATGTAAACATTATTATTGACAAAGACAAAAGATAATTGTTTTAAAGACAAGTATATAACAGGATTTCTGCTTGAGACCCTGTGCAAAAATCTCATGAAAATTTTAAGTCTCTGTATGAAATGATATTAAAATTCGGTAAAACGAAACATTGACACGTTGAAAAAAGGTTTAAATAAACGACAATACTGACCACACATGAAATATTATTTTTAGTACTTCGACAATCCTTATATATAAGATTTCTATTGATTTTTGAAGTAAGGCTTATTACAAAGTTAGCAGTTACGAAGTTACTTGCATAATTGCTAAGTGTAAATAATATTAGTGTCAAAGAATTTTGAAAGTTGAGTGCACAGTTCAGTTAATAACTCATAATTTTGCTAAGTCAACTAGTACGTTGTTGATAGTTGAAACGACATTTTTGACAAAATGAATTTTTACTCACTTTTCGTTTACACGATGCTGTCATATTACAATCTAACTTTCAACATGGAGTAGAACCTAGAATATGATGTACTAGAGTAGAAATAGTAGAAAGTCGGATTCGAAAAGTTAATCTACATGAATAATCAAACCACAGCAGGTAGACTCATAGACCTGATAATCGTAGAACAATTTTCACACAACTAGTGAACATTTTTTTATGCAAATTTCTTATTGAAACCGGAAATGTTTCATCTGACTACTTACAGGCTACTCACGAAGTTAGACATTCATGATACAGCTAAAATACGTAAGAGTATGGAGTGACATAGACTTTAGCCAATGTAAATGATGGCAATCAAACTGCTGTGCTTAAAAGTCCTGAATTTAGTTACCATGCCAAATTTTGGAACGATTTAATTAAGAAAGTCCATTATTACTAACTTAGAATCTAGCTCATTTGTAAACCTTTCAGATTGCTTCATCACATAAGTACATCCAGATGAAGCTACTGAAATAAATACCATAGTACTAGGAGTATTAGGAATATCAGTACAACAACTCATGAACGTATGCATTGATTTCAAGTCTTGATCTGATAATAAAACAAGTTTGTTAAGAAATGTTCTTACAACAGTCAGCATGGTATGCCAAGGTAGATGGAGCCTAAAACATAAAGGCCAAGACGAGACTATTTCAACAGATGAAGAAGACTCGATAGCAAATTCAGAAATTGTATAAACGTTTTAAGAATACAACAAAACACAATTGAGCAACAGCTGCATTTACACAACACAACGAATTATGTTACCTATCAGTTTGGAATGGATGGACAGAGAAATCTGAGCAATCTATAAATAAACTTTAAAAACTGAATTCATAGTGATGACTACTGTAACTTATTTCATAGTAAAATAAAAACAAATATCAACAGATAGACAGCTGAATAAGGACTTTATATGACTGCTACTAATACTACTACTACAGCTACTACTACAACTACGACGACTACTACTAATACTACTACTACGACTACTACTACTACTACCACTGCTTCTACAACTACTACTAACAAAGTTCATATCATTGCTAAAAGTAGAAACGCTGAATTTAGCAGTAAGAGTTTCATATCCACAATGTCAAAACAAAGTGAAGCCCAACGATATGAAAATTTATACTCTAAAATCGACCAGCAGCTGTGCTAATGAGAAAATTACCTTTTACAGGTCATTTAGCGAACAAGGTCGAGTACAGGTGTCAATTTCAAAGAGCAATTACACTTCCGTCCATTAAAATGGGAAATTTTACAAAATATAAGGTAATAAAAACTTAAAGATAGGTGTACCAAAGAAACTTATGTTGATAATTTATGCAAGGTTATGCAAGGTTGCAAATTCAGATGACTAAGGATGTAGTTGGCTAAAGCTTTAAATACAACCAGGAATAAGTTAGTGGGTGACAGGTTCAGTTGTAAGCAATCAGAGGGATGAATATTGCTCAGATTAAAGAATATTGGTCAAGAAATTCATCTCTCACTATTCAAGAAACTAGTATCTTCTGTATTGAAATATTGTGTAAAAACTAACATTAATATGTGGTCTGATTCACATCTTTGTGTTTACTTTCAGTGACTTTATTTTTGGACATGTGTATAGTAGTGCATTTATGTTTTAGATAAAGGCGTTGACTCTATATTCTTAGTACCTTCAGGTCACACGTCATCAACGTTTTAATCAAAGGTTTAGTGACAACTGCTTTAACCATTTCTATTATTTATCAATGCTTTTGGTATTATATCTTTGCAACACCTAATAACTCTCTCGGTTATATAAGAAAAGATTAAACCCATTGCTTCAAATTTCGACATTTTAAGTCCTTTGTTGTTTGAAATTTAATAAATTAAATCTTTTCTGATAAATGAATCCCGTAGTTCCTTACAGTTGTATTGCAAAGCACTCTAAACTGACATCCAAAACAACGACAGTGATTATACAAAGTCGGATATCAGTAAGCCTACCTAGAATCCTTAAATAAAACATGGAGATGGTCAAAACTTATCATTAAATGCTGTGTTTTGAATCTGTTTGCATTCAGGTTCATCACTGACGAAATTTATTGTAACTAAACACAGCTGAATATCCCTCACTAATCTTACTCCTCGAAAATGGTCTTGAATTATCCATAGCTAAACAAGTGAAACCAAAGCTGAATATTTCATGGAAGTGTGTGACTTCACCAGGATTAATGACATTATTAATAAATATGTTCTAGTTGGTTGATATTACCTGATAGTGAGTTTCAACTGTGAGCAATTGTAACTTAAGTTTGAGTGGCGACATCACTGTACTGTCCCAAGCTCAGAGAGTAAAACCGACACAAATATTTGTAACGCTCTCTTCACTTAAAATCAGAAAATCCCCACAAATTATTCCGAAGACATTAAATTTAAGAAGAAGAAAAATGGAAATAGGTCATTGGAAACTTCACAAGCCTAAGTGACGTACTACAAGCCAGATATTTAAACAAATTTATTCTCTCTAAAATGATGCAAGTGTAAACTGTATTGAACCCAGAAGTTGCTGAAATTTACAAGATCCAGACCTTTTGTTTGTCTTTCTCATCAAGCAACTATTTATGTCTCACTCAAACCGCATAGAACATCAGCATGAAAATGATGGCCTTGTGAAGGCGAACAATCAATTCTATATAAGAAATATTCAGACGTAGTCAGTTTAGATATTAAAACATACTTATTTTACCAAGGGTCATCCAAGTGATGCTTTTAAAGTACCTACTATCAAAGCTGCTACTACGATATATTTTACGAGTTACAGTCGTTGATTCAAGTAGTATTTTTTGGTTTCTTATAACTCAGTAACTGAAACTTTCAGACGATAATCCCGCAAAAAAGCTGCTTGGGCTATGTGATACACAGACAGTTCAAACTTGGTAGTTAGTCAAAGAATTAAGAAAGCAAAAGGTTTTTCAAATGAAAACACTAAACTTACGAGGTGCATTTTCACAGGCTGAACAATGTCCATTTATAATTTCGTCTAAGGAATATGGAATTTCGCTAAATTTGCTCAGCTGTGTAACAAAACTAGAACCTGGTTGTCTTAGGTGCTGAGCACATCTTAACACATATTCCGGAAGTTTGGTTGTCCATAAATCATGCACAGCAAAACCTGCTCTCGCAGGAGCTATCCAGGCTTGTTTCTTGTCTGCAAACCTAGTCACTCGAAACCTTGACTGTGAAGACAAAGCTTTAAGATCATCCTCTGTAAGTTCCACTGGCGACTGAGGCATTTCAGTGCTTTCAAAACGTTTCAAAAGCGATTTAGACGAGCGTCTTAGGGGTCGCTTTTTGTGTTCTGCATTACTTTTCATATGCTTTAATCTCTTTCTAGGTAACTTTTTTGATATGGTGGTATTTGTCGCCTTTGTTGTTTCAAGATTGGCTGCTGTTGTAATAGAAGAATTATCTTCCTGAAAATCTTTCCCAGACGTTGTTGAATTCTTATTTTCTGTGTTGATTTTTTCATGTCGAACGCTCAACAGCACAAACCCTGGTCTCGTACGACCTCGTATACTCTCAACTATATCATTGCTAGGCTCGGGAGTGAACTCCAGAGAACCTCTTCTTATACAGTGATCTATATCTTTCATTGTAAGCGCTTGCGCGGTCGACCCACTTGAGCATGCATCAGGAACAGCTTGGCTGGCTGGGAATGCATCTTCTGTGGAATTATCTTGTTGAATAGAAAATGGATATAAGACTATTGGTTGATTCGGGCATGACACAGTTACTGAACTTCCTTGATTTGCGTGACTGATGTCATCTCTTGGAGTTATATGTAGTGACAAACCACTTTCGCCTTCAAACTTGGCTTCGACAGGGACCAAAAATGTTGACATGTTTGAATGCTCGTTATTTACAGACAAATCTGGATTGGAATTAATATCACAGTCAGAATTTTGAACAAAACAAGGTAGTGGATTAGGGTTTTGACACTCGATATTAGATTCTTCAGTTAATAGAAGTGTATCCTTAAGTGAGTTATAATGTTCGGCAAGTTGCAACTCAATTAACTTTTGAAGTAACAGTAGTTGCAGCTGTTTTTGAGCATTTGTATCTACACTGTTTGAACTCTGACTCGGGATGTTGTAAGCAACGTCCTCAGCATGGTTCTGCACACTCAGAGTGTTTATCTGGTTTATTTCAGCATCGTTTGGGCTTACTACTGAATTAGGAAAAATAAAGCCATGACATATGGGATGACCATAGCTCCTTACATCACTGCCAAGAGTCTCATTAGAAACACACGCACGTTGTAGTGAAAGAGGTACATTTGTTGGATTTAATGGCATATATACAACATCATTCGTAGGGATAAGTAAATTAGGTGAAGATTCGAGGGGATATGCATTGAAAGCTGGGTGCTGAGAAGAATTAGCGGTACTGTTTTTAGAAGGATCCACGCTTGTTTTGGTAATACTGAAGTTATTTAAAGGCGTGTTTTGCGAAGAGGCTGTCATCGCAGTATTAAATGAAATCTGATGACTTATTTCAAATTACTGCTAGAGTTTTTATTGACTACATTCACCTGAACTAACAAACTCTCACGCTTGCAAAATACCTTTGATGAATTCAATAAAACTTTCAATTTATTATCTCAGTCAAAGACTTTAAAGCATGCTTTATTTAGAAGTTTAAGTCAAAAACGGCATATTGGTATCAGCCGCAGGCCCACGTCCAATATCCAATACCTTTCCATGAGCTAGGATAAGCCGATTGATTTCTTTGCACTCCCTACGTATTCCTGCGCTACGTTCCCAACTATCTAGCAATGGGTCGTAGTTTAGTCTCTCGACTGCACTAGTTGTAGTCATTTGGTTGTTGTTTATGAATTCGTGTCTTATAATTTGAGTGAGAGTGTTTGTCTCAGGACAATAGAGTTTCTGCATACCAGAAACTATCATATTATCGGGTTGGAGATAGGTTTGCCTCAACGTTCAGACAAAATTGCGCTACTAGGAAGAATACGAATGTTTCAGAATTTAAATAGATAATATTGTTTATTAATTGATGGTTCAGATAATGTAGGAGGACCGAAGTTGGGAGAGCATTCAAATGAGGGAACGGTTGATAAGAAAAAGTGGGCGCATACTTGGGCGTGTACTCTTTGGTGTGCGATTTTGCGGAGAAAACCTCGGGGGCCTTAGTGGTGATGTTCCGAAACTGTCTAATGGATTGTGTGCATTTACTTCAATGTACCTTTAGTCATTCACACATTCACTAAATGAAATATATTTCACAACTACATTGGTATGGTTAATTTGAGTATCGCTGAACTGTATTCAGATTCTCCTTCAATGAATTTCTTTCGTTGAGGATTTGGCTATAAATCTAAATTAAATATTTAAATGCAAATTACTTCTTTTTCATTGACATTTTTTAACGACTGTTCCATTGATTTTATCTCATAATAATGTAGCGTCACGCCTTAACAATTTATACTAATTTAGCTTAGCCTCTATTACCATATATGCACTTAATCATAAGAACGATTTGTCATGATTTGACAAATCTGAATCTATCATGTTTCTCGTACAAACTTACTACGACTGAATCTGTGTCATATGTTTTGAAAATTTGGAAATCAGTGTAAACTCGAAGTATCTAATATCATCCTCGGTAACAATCAATAGCGTTTTAACCGACCATGATATGGCATCATCTGGAAAGATAGTTTTTTCAAGCGTAATACAATTTTATCACAAAGAATGAGTGATTCCAGTTATTTGTAACTCGAAATAATGTTTTGCAAAAAAATTTTATTTAATTTTAATATCTGAATGTTCATTTTCATAAATGAAAAAACATTTAAACACTGAGTACGGTATTTCGACTGCGATAGCTATTAGTTTTCTCCATACTTTCCCGTTTAAATGTATCGAAATGCATCTCTTTACTATGAGTATGTTAACGTTTCAGTGATATATACACAAATTTTTAATATTTACGTGATTATATTTTCAAAGTTTTAATTGTACTAAAATTTGCTGAAATCGTAAAAAATATTCACTGCATTTACTGTTATTTAATTAGCATATAATATTTCACTCTGCTTAAAATGGTCACTGAAAGGTTTATACTTCTATTTACTTCCCGTAGTATCTAGATGTTGATTTTTTAAAAACAAATAGTTATTTAATTTAACTATTCACCGGCACTCATATTTACCAAGTACATATCTATATTTCATCTGGTTTTACTATGTGATAACCCCATACCTACTTTAATCCTACTCAATGTTCATTATGCAGTCTTTCAGTATGAAATCAACTTCCATATTTAATCACTATCCAAATATATTCATTTTAAATTCTTATTCTGTGTATTTTTCTAAACATTATCCAATTGCGTTATTAAAACATCCACCTATTCTATTATTTTAAATATGTTTTAAATAATATTAGCTAGAAAAAAATCAAATTTGAAACAGTTTAACAAATAATCCTCAACTGAATAGTACTGACTGTGCTATCCTACCTTAGCTCAACCTAAGACTTGTTTTAAAATATCAAGTTAATCTACATAATTTATTGTATTTTTTTTAAACTTGAGTACAAAACTTCTGCCTATATTCTTACCATTATTTATAACTTCTATGACTATACAGCAATAAAAAAAATTGTTGTGGTACTTTTAACACATTGGTAATCCATAAGAAGTTTTGCCTTGCATTTATGATGCTTTATATAAAATTCAGTTAACTCGTCAATTATTTATTTAGTTTACAGCTTTATTGATGGTGTTTCAACAATAGTTATGATTATTCCAGTTGGCTTGCCACAAACGATAAATTGTACCTTCTGCGAAGGAAATGCTTGAGTTTCTCTTGTATTTCCACTTATATTCTATTCAGTTAACTTTGCAATCACTCTTGATCAGTGTAGGGTATATAACGTTTAGTTTTCATCCTCCGGGTCGCCGATCTACTATAGTGCAAGTTGAGAAGTACTCACGTGTAGTGCTATAAAGTTCCATCATGATTGTAGATTCGAATTTGATTGAAGTTAAAAGCTGTGTATAAAGAATCGAAGTTCAAAAATCCAATTATCTAAATGATGTTCAAATATTCATTGTTTGGGCTTTCAATAAACACTGTTAACGATTAGTACATTAGTTGTAACCAGACTACATATGGACACATTATTTCAGAGGGACTTTGATTTCTTCATCACATGAGTGAAGTAGAACAAGCTCAAATGTACTGAACTTCATATTTTTTTGTCATAACGTTATTGAAAACACTTTTGTTTATCTCATAAATTTTAGAATTTCGAAACTCTGTTTGCTAACACTAAGTAAAATCATCATATTGTCAAAATATAATTTCAATTAAACGATCCGAAGTTGACTTACAATATTTGTCGTCGTTATTATCAATAATCTATGAAATCTAGATAACTCTTATCTGCTTTACTAACATTATTAATGATTATACGTCAGAGCTAATAGTGATAAAACAGCTTTACTATTTACGTAACATGATTTTATGATTAATTCAACAAAATTAAGAAAGAATGTTTTAAAAAAATACTAAATTACTACGCTATATAGTTTACATTCTAATAGTCATCTTATGTTAAGGTCAAATACGTTGTTTCAGTTAGCTTTAACATTCATTTAGTTAGTGAACTGTAAATTAGAAATCATGCATATATTTAATATACTGTTATCTTTAAACATTCATTAAACTCAATTGTTAGTAAATAATACTAGATTTCACTCTTTTCTCATTTTGCTCAGTGTATGACTTTAATAATGGACAATATGATTGTTGACATACACAGATAAACTTAATGCTTTTAATAGTCAATACTTTTCATAAGTAAGTGTTACGCCTGCATTTAAACACGTCAACTTAATATGCTTGAACTATTTCGAGTTTACATAGTCGGAAAACGAGAGCGAGGATCGAGGATCCGGCGACACGACATGCTACTCAAATCCGATTATCCCAACCCACATATTGAGTAAAAGAAGACAAGACCTGATATGAAGTAGAACCCGTATTCTACAACCATCCAGAAAGTACGAGGTCCGGATCCAGAAGAGAAACAGGATCCTGGACTAGGGATCCGGGACCGGGTCCTGGTCCTGGTCATAAAACGTTACAGATAATGCGTATTTATACATTTTGGTCGAATGATCAACAGCATTGAATTCTGTGACATTGACACTTAAGATGACCAATAGGAAGTAACATTTGTAGTGACATTGATAGTTGGGACAACCATAAAATTGACCAGTAGGAATTAACCAGTAGGAATTGACCAATAATTCTCTCAGGATATTGGATGAATATCTTAACACATCCCTCTGACGAAATTGAAGCGATATACGACGGTTTAATTGGATCTGGACTGTTGTTTGCTGCTGTCGGGGAGGATATTTCTGGAATGGAGATGAAGACCAGTCTTAGGTACTTCTGAGCGGGTTGGCTTCTTCTTATATGTTTGATGGGACACTGCTAATGTTAGCTATTTGAACCAATCTAACAGATTAATTTTAGATCGGCTATCGGACTGAGCTGAAGTGAGGTGGGCTGGATGTAGCTGGGGGCACAGCTACTCTGGTTAGTTGACAAACACAATACACAACGTCAGATTGACTTGATCCACCATAGTCGTGTCACGATGCAGCTTAGTATCCATCAATATTTTCATTAGTTCAGATGCTGCTCGGGTAATGATTCAAGTCTCAAAGGATCAATATGTTCCCATTCCCGTCGCCACTTGTTATGTTCGTCACTATGTACGCTTGAAGCTATTACGAGTTCACCTTAGTCTATAAACGCGAACGAGACAATTACCAGCGTCCAGGTAGGCTAACTTGAATCCCAAGCTGTAAAACAGAGGTCTTGGTAAGCGTAGAAAGTATATTCTACAACACTCAGCAATCACAATACCACCAAGCACACAACTCTCGTTTATTTATACATCATAGAAACGTCCTTGGGACGGTTACGAAAATAGCACACTAAAATACTCAGCAGCCAATCACAGCCATGGATTTTCCTGGTGGGAAATGAAATCTCAAGGTCAACTGATCGGTTCACGCTCGCAAACGTGAAATCCAAAATCAGGCATTTATCAAGCTAGTTTTCAGGATCTAACATCCCCAACGGTAAGCTAGTAAATTCTATAGTTTTTGTTCAGTTACAAAAAAGATGAATTTCACGATTAACCAACCTTTGATATTTAACCAACATTACCGTAAACATTTTTAAAATTCTAAATATTTAATGTTACCGAAAAACAGATTATTAAAGAATTAATCTGTTACACATGATTCAGCGAAGATCTTAGAGTATCTACTATGACTAGTAATTGTTTTCTCACTTTTTCATAAAATTATGCGAATAAAACGACATATTATTTATCTTTCATAAAATTCATGAACTTGAAGGCAATGAAGTTGACACTTTGAAGGTTGTTCAACTGCCAAATGACTTATAATACAATTTTATGGATACTTTCACGAAATCAACTAACTGTGATTCGAAAAAGACTAAACAACCATTACTGACAAGTTGATTAAAAATTGCCCATTACTATATATAGTCGATTTTGATAGATTTATTAGGTT